GGGCTGCGCGGGGCGGGTGGAAGGCAACGGGATGACGCCGTTATCCGCGGCTTTCTTACCTCATCCACGGCAGAACGTTACACGGTGAAGTGTCAGCCCATTAGCTACACGTCATAAAATTCCGGGCACCAAGTTTGAATGGGGAAAGCTACAACGCCAGAAAAAAGGCAAGGGAAGCAAGTACCTGAGTACCTGAGTACTTGCTTTGACCCCACCTGGAGTGCTGCGTCCAGCTGTGGAGCCCTCAGCATCAGAAGGATATTGACCACTTGGAGCGAGTCCAGAGGAGGCCACGAAGATGATCAGAGGGCTGGAGCCCCTCTGCTGTGATGAAAGGCTGCAAGAATTGGGCTTGTTCAGCCTGGAGAAGAGCAGGCTCCGAGGAGACCTCATTGCAGCTTTCCAGTACCTGAAGGGCCTACAAGGGCGCTGGGAGAGGACTTTTTACAAGAGCCTGTAGTGACAGGACAAGGGGGAATGGGTATAAATTGAAATCAGGGAGGGTTAGATTAGATATCAGGAAGAAATTCTTCACAGAGAGGGTGGTGAGGCACTGGGACAGGTTGCCCAGAGAAGCTGTGGATGCCCCATCCCTGGAAGTGTCCAAGGCCAGGCTGGATGAGGCTTGGAGCAACCTGGTCTAGTGGAAGGGGTCCCTGCCCATGGCAGGGGGGTTGGAACTAGATGATCTTTAAGGTCCCTTCCAACCCAAACCATTCTATCATTCTATGATTCTATGATTCAAGTAGGCATCGCCGACAGCAGAATACTGAGGGTCCAGTCTGAAGCAGACGTTGGCCAAGTCACCTCAGGTGATCTTTTTACTGCATAGAAAATACACTCCAAGAATCAGGCCCAGGCCCTGGGTGCTCGGCGTGAAATCAATCACCCGCCCAGGTGCTTGTTTCTCTCCTCTGATTAGAAAGGAAATTGAGGGAGACACTTCAGTCTGGTCAGGGCATTAGCACAGGTAACTTCTCTTTCCCAGTATCCCAAATATTTTATCTGCTCAAATTCCTTCACGCAAACCGCAATCACAAAACGCAGGTACACCAAATGCCTAGTTTCTGCAAGGCGAGTCTTTTATTTGAGAAGGAGAACTCAAGTTCGCATGCACTTTCCAGTGTAATACAGGTATTTTTGTTAACACTGATAAATACTAGCACGCATGCAGGTCTGTTTTCTCAGACCTGGATCTTCCAGCTATCAGCTACGATTTCAACTGTATTCTAACACTATTATTCCACTTTTCCACTGTTAAAATTGTATTGTTATAACCACACTGTTACAACTTCCCCTAATTGTAGCCCAAATTCAAAAGTAGTAAAAATTTTTAACAATTTTTGTTAGAGTTACAGAGAATTAAATGCATTTTTTGAATAGTATAAACGACAACATCTCACGTTAAAGTTTATGAAATCTTTATAGGACAGCCAATGAAAGCTGAAAAAGGTCTAAACATATCTCAACATTTTTGCATGTAACATTTTAGTGTTAAGTCATGACAATCATCTGAAGCCTAAACACGTAAGTTCAGTCATTCTTACATTTTCTGATTCACATAAGCATTGGTCCGATTGCACTTACACCACTTTCTTTGCCACTTTCTTCCATTAAAAACCCATGAATCTGTTAATGTACTCTAGCTCACATTACATGCCAATCTTTTTGTTGCAGTTTTCTCCCCAGATTCTCATTGCCTATGTTTTCTGTAAAAATAAAGCAGTTAGGAATATTAAAAAACTTTATAAAGCCATCTAAATTTGACACGGTTCCTTCAGTAATCCAGCAGTGGCAGAACAGACCAGCTTTGCCCACTGTACATTATTCTAGACAACTGAAAATCTATCAAGCACAAACCAACACAGCAGCATTCTATACTTTCTTACCATTAAAACAGTCTCCCACTTTTTACAAAGGTATTTAAGTATGTTGCTATTATAACACAGCAAAATATCATCCTAAAAATATGATCTCTTATTAGCCAACTTGTGTGATAACAACCCACTTTCTGACCATACGGGTACTCACCAAGGAACTACAGTCATACCTTTTAAGAATTACCCTGTAATTTAATTTCTCACAGGAAGTAAAAAACAAAAAGTATGCAAGTAAATTACATTAAATTAAAATAAATATTAGAGTTATTAATTACATACGCTTGCCAAGTGCAGTCCAAAGGGCCTTGTCTGCTCTTTAAATCAAAAAGAGAATGCTTTCATTTTCAGATTCATAGAATCTGATTTAAATTTTGGATCAGGATGCTTAACATGGGAAAGGAAAGACAACAGAAACACCAATGGGAAAAGGGATGGAAACAGAGACAGAAAACCAGAACAGAAGAAGAAAGGGTGCTTACTTCCAGCACCACACCCCCATGACAGTAGGCCTCAATCGTGACAGAGCAGCAGCAGAAGTGGCAAGATGCAACCAACTGTGGAAATGCAGCAGCTAAGCAGTGAGACTCTACAGAGAGTGAGGTTAGGCTGTCACACCACTTTTCCAACCTAGTGGAATCTTCCCAAACAATCATAGAATGACTTTGGTTGGAAGGGATCTTAAAGATCATTTAATTCCAAATGCAGTCTTTTCCTTCAGCAGAGTACGAATCTGTGCTAGTACACTGGTGTAAGTTAAAAATTACACAATTACACTGAACATTTGGTGAGGCTCAGAAGGGTACTAAGCCTTTTACATGCCAGGTGTTTTGTCATCAGCATTAATTCCTAGTTTGTGTTACTTCTGATAAGCAAGGGCTGTTAATTACTAAGGGACTGTGTCAGGATTTCTCAAACCTATCTGCTTACTTCAACAGTTTTCTCATTACATTTAGGGTAGAACCCCTGTACCCCGTTCCAAAATGGTTCCAGTGGTTTATGTAATTAAAGAGCTGATATAACTTGTTTCTTTTCTCAAATCCTGGAGCTTTGGGTATTTTACTGTGATAGGCAGAGAAAAAAGAGCTGCTAAACCCACCAAACATTCCAGCAATGGCCAGTTCAAACTCTGAATGGCCGTAGAAGGAAGCAGGGTCAAAGATAATTGGCCCGGAGTCGTCCTCAGCCACATTTCCTGCCCACAGGTCCCCATGCAGGAGAGCGGGAATGATTTCGATGTCACAGAACATTTCAGGAATCTTTAGCTGAAAAAGCATGAACAAACATGCAACAATTAAAGAGTTTTGAACAAAAGATTAAATAAAACAAAAGTGCCATAGTATAAAACAGACTAAGCTGGTTAAATACCGCCTGTTTTCACTCCCCACAAGTGCTTCTGAAGTTGACGGCTACAAACATAAACCTAAACTGTACACCAGTAAGAAGTGTTCTTGCTTATTCTTGACAGAGCTTAGCAAACCATTTGACTCACACTCTAGTATCAACACCTAGTATTAACGTGTTGTTTCTAGAGGTGGGTAGTATTGGCCGTAAGAAGAAATGCAAAATAAATTTAAAGGTTTCAGTGGCAAAAAGAGCAGCAGTAAACATCTGTACCAATTAACCAGAATTAAGCAACAACTCCGTGGTGCAGAGGTTGAGGAGGAACATGGCCCTGACTGTGCCCAAGTGCTGCAACTGGACCACAGGCTCAGCCCTGAGCCTGCATCAAGTGGGAAAAAAAAAAAATAAGGCAGCAGAATCTTAGTTATTTTGCAACATCAAGTTCTTAGATAGGATTTACCACCTTATTATTAGTAGCTGAATTCTAAGAACTGCAATTCACTGACACGTATTTATTTTCACTCTTAAGAAACTGAAAGAGCAACATGAATTCTTTTCAGCTGACAACGTTGTTGGACCAGCTGTGAAGTTAATCCAGCTGCTGCTGTTCATAAACACTATGTAAATCTCTTATGAAACACCTTTAAAATCCCACTGATACGTATTTTCTAACATTCTGAAAGAATGATTTAAGACATAGTTCATACTTTTAGCTGTGACCAAAGTTCTCTGGCTTCTCTGTCTCCATAATCTTTTTCAATCAAATCCAACTGAGCCTGGAGTCGATGACGAATGAAGAAGGAAGGCCAATCACTCTGCCATTCATTCACCTAGAAAATATGACACAGGGGTTTGTAATAAACAATTACAGCATACACTTAATCAGCATTAATAATGCACAGAGATCAAGTTACAATGTCCGATGCCGACACAATGGCCTAGACAATGAGGCCCTCTAAAGCAGTGGATTTTGCCATTTGAGATCTGTATAGATGGGGTTTAGAAAAAACAAAACCAAGACTTGGTTTGTGAAGGAATACTTAATTTTATGAAGTACTAAGGGCTATTTAATTTTATTAGATACTTAATCTATACTTAAAATTAAGTATCTAAAAATTTTATTAAGTATCTAATTAAGTATTAGTATTATTAGTAATTAAGTATCACCAAGTATAAATAACTACACATAATTGCAAACTCTTATTTGATCCACTAGCCTGCTCGCTACACACAAGGTAGCTTGCCACACGCATTGAACAGCCATCATACTCCCTTCGCTGCCAGGTTAAAATGAACCACTGAAAGCAAAAGGGCCATCACAAAGCTGAAGGCCAGTGAAACAAGCTTTTCTATAAGCACTTTATAGAGCTACATGAGTACATGTTAGCTTTCACAAGCATGGAACATACCTGAGGTATATAACCACAGCAAGTGGCTGTATGGAATCCAAACTTATCCACATACTGAGCCTCTGAGTGACCCGCTCCTTTACCTCAGAAACAAAATAAATGTTGGGAGTTTTGAGATCCATCCATAGTAAAGTTTGCAAACACAGAACTAAATTTCAAAGAACCGGCATACAGAATGATTTGAAGCAATAAATTACACTTATTTCATGGTCACAACCCTCTCTGAAGATGGAAAGAAGGCTCTTACACTTGAAGATACAGAATGGAAATGGAGGCTGAACTAGTCACAGTTAGTGACTTTTCTTTGGATAAACGAGTTAGACATTCAGGAACAGAGTCTAGATACCAGATTCACCATCTCCTGTTCTGATACTTGAACATGTTGTCATTAAACATGGTTTATTTTGGATTCATGGCTTATTTGTGACCTGCCAGTAATTTGGCCTTCACTAAAACATTATGGATTATAATATGTCCACCACTAAGAGTCGAAACCAGACTGTCCCTGCAGTCAGGGGAGAGACATAGATACAGACTGGTGGTTCAGATGTTACTACTAAGAACTCTAGAAGAATAATTCTTTGTATAGCATCCGTTTAATTTTTTTTAATTTATGCCTTAAATCACTTCCCAAAGAACGACAGATGTTTTCAATGAAGTCAATAGAAACTGGATCATGACCTGACACTCTGAATTACAACTGCCTTCAAGGAGCAGCAACTGTGTATTTTGCTACATATTTGAGTTCAAAAACATAATCCCCAACATCTTTAAAGGGAAACTTAATTATGTGGTCTAACTGGGACCATATCCCAAAATAAGTTAATTGTCTAAACCAACAGCAAACAAAAAAAGAGGATGTATGTAAGGTCAGGAAAATTTTAAGAGACTGATGGTACAAGAGGCTGAAATGTTTAACTGACACTGAAAAAAACTAGTCCAAATTTTCAGTTTGACTTATGAAATGTTGAAAGCTCTAAGTAGCAAATACTAGCACTATTTCTTAGTAAATTTCAGTACCCACATAATTTATACAACTAAGTATATACAAACCAAAGAATTTTTAAAAATAATTAATTAAAATTTTTCAAGGTTAAAATATGTTTAAAAATTATAATAGTAATTATAGCTCCTCTGTATATAATGCACATTTGAGAATCACAGACTAGTTTGGGTTGGAAGGCACCTTTAAAGATCATCCAGTTCCAACCCCCCTGCCATGGGCAGGGACACCTTCCACTAGACCAGGTTGCTCAAAACCCTGATGAAGAAAAAATATAACTTCTGTACAAGGAGATCTATTTTTCTGGTCTACAGAGGTATACTAGCAAAGCATTAGTAGAGTCGACATAATGTCTATGTGCATACCTTTTGTGTTGGATTTTAGTATGTTGTATTGTATAGAGCTTTTTATAAGAAATTTAACTGTGCTACACAATTGTAACAGGGTGGAAATTGGGAATGAAAGACCTGCCAGCACAAAGAAATTTCCAGACACTGGTGGTAACTACAGTGAGCACATCTGAGGAATGTCTTGCAAAGAGAAAGCTGTTATTCTCTCTGTATCACTGATGTTCCAGAGTATTCAATAGAAGAAATCTTCACACTCTGATTCCTTCCCTTGTATGCGAAGTTAAATATATAACACAAAAAATGACATAACTAATTTTTAATATTTTCTGGGTTCTTTCTTGCTACTCAGTTGGCACAGCCTAACGTGGACATTCTTCTTTTCCTGGCTGTGAGCACAAAATATTTTAGCTGTGACACAAAACATACAGTGTGATAGATATTCTATTATCATTACAGATTACACCACATGAAACCTTGAGGGAGGCTTATGTACTTCATACCAACCCTTTTTAATATCTCGCAGTAATGCCATCTGAGTTACCATTCCTTTAATGACAAAGTTTGGCATGCAGTGAAGTTAGGGCTTCCAGAACTACTTTTAGAGTATAACTATCTCTTGAAGTGCCTTGCTTTCTAGCTTGCTGATTCAGTCATAATAAACCAATGTAAATCTCCAGCTTTTTTACTTGAAAAATTATTATATAATGTAGAAAATGTTTGTTGCAGGAATTATGGCTAAACTTAACTCTCTCATTGCTTTATCACTGTTAAGAACTTCATTAGGCCTCCTGGTGCTTCTACCCCACTTCCTTTTTGTTGGGATGCATCGCTCCTGAGCTTGGAGGAGAAGGTCCTTGAAGAGTCGCCAGCTTTCTTGGGCCCCTCTTCCCTCCAGGGCTTCATCCCATGGAACTGTGACAATCAGTTCCCTGAAGAGGCTAAAGTCTGCTCTCCTGCAGTCCAGAATAGTGAGCTTGCTGTGTACCCTCCTTGCCTCCGTAAGGATCTCAAACTCCTCCAGCCAAGGCTGCCCTTGAGCTTCACATCCCCCACCAGCCCGTCCCTGTTGGTGAGGAGAAGGTTCAGTATGGCTCCCCTCCTCATCGGCTCCTCTATCCCTTGGAGAAGGAAGTTGTCATCGACGCATTCCAGGAACCTCCTGGCTTGCTTGTTCCCTGCTGTGTTGTCCCTCCAGCAGATATTGGGGTGGTTGAAGTCCCCCATGAGGACAAGAGTTTATGACTGTGAGGCTGCTGCTATCTACCTGTAGAGGGCCTCATCCACACCTGGCCAGGTGGCCTGTAGCAAACTCCTACTGTGTCCCCTCTTCCTGCCCTCCCTTTAATCCGGCCCCCTAAACGCTCCGTCGGCTCCTCATCCAACCCCATTGGAGTTCCACGCACTGATGTAGAGAGCAACACCTCCTCCACATCACCCCTGCCTGACCTTGCTAAAGGGCCTGTATCCTTCCACAAGTGGCACAGGGAGAAGGGTGGCATAGGGACAGGAAGGACATCCCTGATGAAATAGTGTCCCAGTATTGACTTTAATTATCATTAAAATTATAATGCAAATACTGTACCACAGCCAAATGATTGATTTCATTTTTGGTTTAGTACATGATATCAAGACTCTACCAATTGTGTTTCCCTCCTTCCTCAATTTCTCTCCAAGTTTCTGGTTATAAAGATGAAGATCTGCTATCTGCTCCCCAAGCTTTGAAGAATATCTGTAGGATCAAAAGCAAAACAAAAGTGAAACGGGACAAGTGAATGGAATATTACAAAGAAAGAAAAAACCTCAATTAAATAGCACCAAGTATATTTTTGGCAAATATAGTTCATTAATCAACTTCACAAGTACCTAACAGGGAGCAAATGACTGGACAACAACTCTGAAGAAAGAGGTTGTAACAGATAAGAAAATGAACATAGGTCAATGCTCTGGTATGAAAGGTAAACAGAACACAAGGCTGCAGAAAGAGGAACACAGAGTGCAGGAGGATCAAGTAATCCTTATCAGCTCCACACTGATAAGCAGAGAATAGAACATGATATCTAATTTTGGGCCTTATACCTTGAGATCAGCTGAACAGCAGTAAGAATGGTAAATCTAAAGAAGCAGGGATTGAGTTGAGGTTGCGTAATGCAGAAGACAGACAACTAAAACACAGTTAAAATAGTACACTATCTGAACAGTTGTCTGAACAGGAGCTACGAGAAAGGAAAATAATTACTTCTCCAAGCCCAGAACAGGTAGAAAATAATGGGTTTAAAATTTCAACCAGGAGGACTGAGGTTAGACAGTAGAAAATCTTTCCTAAGAACAGTGGGATGGATTGGAATGGACTGTTTCAGGAGGCTGTGGAATTGCCATTGTTCTCCCAATAAAAATTGATAGGTTGGACAAACAACTGCCAGAAGAGTCACACACATGACTATGTTCCCATGGAGGCCCAGAGTGAAGCAGTTAACTCCCAAGATCCTATGACTCTTGAATTCCATGTTCAGGCTGGATTATTGACAAAATGGAACTTCATGTTAACTATCCATTTACTTCTTCCTCATCCTGGTGTCTTTGACGTTGTTGACTGGCTTCAACCCTACTCAAAGATTATACTTAGATAAACAGATGTTTCAGAGACACAGGAAGCCTGTAAATTTAAAGGAAACTGATAGGTGGGGAAAAGAAACTCAAATGAAAAATCTCACAAGGGAAAATTATCACACTCACTTTAGTAGCACCTTAGCACGTGTGCATCAGCACACAAAGCTCTAGGCTAGGGACAGCATGCCATTTCTATTGCAGGTAGAGGGTCAGGGAAGAGCAAAATATGGAGCGTGTACACACACATATAGATACGGACACGTTTTCCAATACGTACACATACACACAAACATGGATCTTGACAGATATAATCTCTGAGAAAACAGAGAGATTCTTCTCGTCAAATTTTCTGCCTGACTATGAGAGATAAGAAAATACACCCCAAAACAGTCAAAAGAAAGAGAGAAGTACAGACATACTTGTTGAGGTGCTTCATCTTTAGGTACTCCATGACAAACATTGCTCCTCCTCCAGGTAGGTCAATTACTTTAATAGGCTGAGGCACTCTCACAATATTGGTTTTCTGAATAGCTTCCAGACTTGCCATTTCCCCTTCAAACATTTTTCTAGCCTGTCAAGGAACAAGAATAACCTTGGGCTGAACTATGGATACCTGTAACAAGTACTTAGGAAAAAAATAGCCTTGTTTCTAAAGTTACAAGGAGTTAATTCATTTTGATAAAAGAATGTCACTGCAGCAAGGTTTCAGTCCACACAGGGAGACTTGAGTGTCTTCATACTAACTTCTCTTTTTCCCCAAATTTATTCCAGGGTAATAGGATATGTCACGTTTCACCAGGACTTTCAGCTGTTTATGGAGATGGACATAACTGTTATCTCTGAGGATAATTCCCAAGACCCCTCCTTCAAAACCACAGATGACCACTACTGAAAGAACTAAGAGACTGACTTCTTGAACTGTTTTTCTCCTTTCCCTGCGGGTCAGTGGCCACCAGACAGGGACAACAGAAATATTAAGCCCTCTTCTCTGCATCTTTGAAGTAAAGATGCTGCTCTAGGATGGTTTAGGATGTTTTTGATATTGATAAAGCAAATTTCTGATGCACTGTGGTACTATAAAAGCAATTGAGTAATCATTTAGTAATAGAAAAGTCAAGAGCTTGGCCTGAAAATCTGCAAGAATCTTACTGCTAGAAATACAAAAAGCAATGGGGAAGTTTGAAACCTCTGTAGCTTTAAAAACAATACATGAGTTTTAGCACTGGCAACATTTCCTCTGTCCCTCCCACTATTTAGTCCTGGTAACTGAAACATGAAAAAGAATGCAGTGAATGCAAATTCAGCTTTAACCTTTTCCAAACTCTATGTACTACAGTAACAGCTCCTCCTTTTTACATACCGGAATGCCCATTCCTGCCGCTGAGGGTTATCACATTGCATTACACCTCCTTTTGCATTAATCAAGCCTGCTGCATTAATACTCAACATAAAACAGACTACAACTTTTAGAAGAAAACTGAAAGTAACACTGGAATACTTAAAACTTAGCCTGAAAATGCAGAACTCTAAATTATTAATAATCAGGTACTTTTAAGCTAAAAAGCTCTCTACATGCAATAATATTAGTAGTTAAATATCTACTAGCATTAACCTGAGGTTTGTGGTTGACTTTAACAAATACTCGTCCACTGTCTGTTTCATAACCTTGGCCTTGGCTAATGTATCCTCCTCCCGAGCTTCCAAACGCCTTCAGAACGGACGTTTTCAATTCTGTTTTCAGGATTTTCTCCATGGTAATTTCCAAGCTGCTGCAGCTGCTTTCTGCTAGGTCCACTGCAAAACAAGATTAAACGTCTGGGTCCTTCTTTCACTGTCACTCTGCTATGAGGTAGAAAGGGCCACCCACCAAATGAATAAATACAAAAATAGCAGCCAAAAATCCCCGCAAATCCAGAGATGACGTTTCAGAATGCAGTTTCCCGTGGGCTTTTATAGCTGTCGATGAAAAATAAAAACATTTGCTAGAATAAAATCGCGAGGTGTGTCCTGGGTCCTCTCTCGGCCGTGCTGGAGCTGCCGGTATTTGTAGTTTGGGCCCGTTTCCCCGCTGCCAGCTCGGGCCGGCGCAGCAGGTCATTTCCAAGCAGCCCTGCAGAGGGGGCCCCCGAGCCCCAACACAGCCCGCCCGCGAGCGCTGGCCCGCGGCCGTGGGAGCGGTGACAGAGGAGCGGCAGAGCGGGAGGGTGCGATGACATCACGCTGCCGGCGACAAGTCACCCCCCCGCCACACGCGGGTTCTTCCCTGCCTGTAGCTGCTCTGTGTGCACTGGAGTGCTGTTGTCATCAGCGAGACGTTTGGAACGCTCTCCCTCCCTGGGACACAATTCCATGGCTAGGAGACAGCCAGAAGGCTGTTTGATTGCCTGAAAGCACTGACCCCAAGTCAGCGAGACAGCAACGTGCTCAGGGCTGGACATTATCAAGTGAAAATTCAGGGTGAAAGCACCAAGCTGGTAACAGAGACATCTGTTGCTATATGCTTCTCCAGATTTAATGCGCTCTGTGGGACGTTATTTCCCCTTTCTATCTCCTTTCACGACCTGTAACAGAGAAGGATCCCTCGGGTACGGCTGCGCTCATCACTTCATACCTGCAAAGCGCAGACACCCTCAGAATCAGTGTTAAACCTTTAAACCAGGGCACCACAACTCAGACCCTACAACACTTGACAGTGCCTGTGTAAAGGTAACACACGTGGTTAGGTGGCTGTGACCGACTCCTCACGCATTACCGTGATGAGGCTGCAGTTCGTGTTCCCGCTTGGGGCAGCAACGCCCGTGTCCCCAGGGTACGTCAGGGGTCCCCACTGTCGCACCGTGCTTCCATGCATTTCTCCCTCTTCACTACTATTGGTTTGCATCGACTCATAGAATCATAGAATAGTTTGGGTTGGAAGGGCCCTTAAAGATCATCCAGTTCCACCCCCCCTGCCATGGCAGGGACACCTTCCACTAGACCAGGTTGCTCCAAGCCTCATCCAGCCTGGCCTTGGACACTTCCAGGGATGGGGCATCCACAGCTTCTCTGGGCAACCTGTCCCAGTGCCTCCCCACCCTCTGCGGGAAGAATTTCTTCCTGATATCTAATCTAAACCTCCCTGATTTCAATTTATACCCATTACCCTTTGTCCTATCACTACAGGCCCTTGTAAAAAGTCCTCTCCCAGTACCCTTGTAGTGCCTTCAGATACTGAAAAGCTGCAATGAGGTCTCCTCGGAGCCTCCTCTTCTCCAGGCTAAACAAGCCCAATTCTTGCAGCCTTTCGTCATAGGAGAGGTGCTCATTCATATAACCATTGGGTTTTGACAGAGAAAGAAATGATCATTGGACAAATACTCGCGCCGTTTAAGTAGCCTTTGCGCTACGTTCACAAATGGTTCCAGTCCTACATGGAGTGAAAAACAGTGGCATAGTACAAGTCCTCTCAAGGAAGTGATTTCTCAGAACTAGCTCCTACCGTACACAGAGCCGCTGGAATATAGCGAACCTCAAGGGGACAAACTGGCTAAGGAGGAACTTCTCTAACATCCAGATTTATTTAAGCAGGACAGTGCTTACGGAGTAAGAGCACAAGCTGGAAAAGGGCAGCTCATGGCCTGGAATCAGTGGTTCAAACACAGAAGAGTGTTCAAGAACAGCAAGAAGCCACACTCGAGGTTGCATGTCTTGGTTGGACAGGAGCATCACACGTGTGAAGTAACCAGTGACCGCTCTGACAATCCTTCTACAAAGTCCAGCTGCAATGTCTTATAACCGCCACATCACTGCTGTGCCAATTGTAAAATGGATTACCCACAAATTACAGCTACGGAAGGTAATGTCAGGGAGAGGCAGCGCTTACTGCAGGACTCTCCAATACTGCCCGTACACTCTCACGAATCAGTGTGCCTAACAGTGAGCCGCAGCTGCTGAAGCAAACAGCTATGTCCAGACCAAAGACAGCTCAGGTCACAAGGGCTCAGCACGTGCGTTACATCACAGCAAACCAGTGCACACGCACTCAAAGCAACGTGATTATGGTCGAAGATCTTGGGCAGGTAGTTAATATGACTTGTAGGACTGATTTACCAACAGTGAAAATGCCAAGCAATTTGAATTTCAGGGTATAAGGAGCCCTGACGAGTACCCTACTATAAAGGCAATGGTCTCCAACTGCTGGTAGGAGGGAATTATGCCCAGGGTTGCAATGAAGCACCTGGGGAAAGGAATAGTTTTTTTGGCAATAAAATTAACAACAGGGAGCAGGGACCCTTATTTCTGCATCATAAAACATACCCTAATTCATTTTTCCATTTACTTGTTAAGGGAAAAAAAACCCAAAGAAACAAACAAGAAAAAAAATCCCACCCAAACAAAAGCCTCAAACCACAGAACGAACAAGGAGAATGGATCTTCATCTACAGTATCACTGCT